CCTACAGAAAAAAAAGGACATACTGAAAGGCTTCTTAAGCTCCCATCAAGTTTTATCCTGTACACAGTCCATTGCACTGCAATTTTTACTTGTTTAGGGCAGGAATTCTAGATTCAAATACTAACTTTTAATTCAGTGTACAATTGAAAACGAAACAAAACATTAACATGCACAAATGTTTAATTGGAAAACAGACTTTTGGATGTGGGAAAAAAATATGCAATGCAGAGTTACAGACTAGCCAGCTGGCTTAAGCAATTTATGTATCGTATTAAATATGTGCCTGTGTAGATCCTGAGTGCTACCCTCCTGGTTTATTTACCACAACACAGACTATGCTAAAGTACAAGAGTCACTTAACACTTTCCAACACTTAAAAAAATAAAAACAAAACCAAGCCATTTTCTTCAAACATACAAAAAAATAATGAACTTGGACAGATCAACAGAAAAGCCCTACAATGACAGCTACTAAAGAGGTTTTTGCAGAATTTTGTAACACCAACTCCAATTAAATAAATGGATTGGGAATAGCAAGACTCTGAACCAAAGAAAGCACAGAGAAACCAGCTAAGCCTACTGTCTTTCAGTCATGTAACTGCTGGGATAATCTCATCATATACAAATGACTTTGGTGGCCGTATCTTTAATCAGTTTAAGTATTTTGTTATTCATAACACTTTCAAATCAACTGCACTAGTAATGTTGACATCACAGTTTGTGCCTAAATTCTCCTAGGGACATACACACACCAGAACTAGCTACTTAAGCTCTTCAACTCGTATCTAAGGATCTCTTAAACATAAATAGCTTTTCCTACTGAGCTACTTTAGAAGAACAGTGCCATCTCCCAGCAGATCACCTCAAAGAATTATTGAAACAAAACACATAATCATATGAATCCTTCTTTGCACAGGAAAACTTATCAAGGAAGAACATTTCTCTAAGAAACGCACAAGTTTGTTTTCTTTGACTAAAGATTAGCATGGGTCCTAAAAACAAACAAATAAATAAAAGTCCTATTTTTTAATTTCTATTTCTTTGTTATGTATCCCTAAGAATTCCCTTTCTAAGTATTGATATTTTCATTATTTAATAGTCAAGTTTCAAGTAATAAAAGTTTGGAAGATAATTTTTTAATGTATCTAGTGTCTGATCATTACTGTTTTGTCTGTACTGCTGCAACAAGTCAAATTCCCCTAAACTTCTTCCTCTGAATAAACAGATAGGCAGGACAGTTGAAAATTATGGAATAATGTGTCTGCATGCAAGAAAGAGTAAATCATCTTCCTAACAGTAAAAGCTACAAGATTGGCTCAAGCCATATCTACAGGTCCTGTCACCTACAAGCACTGCAAATTCCACAAAGATATGGTACATATTTATTTGAGCTTGTTGTATCTCCAATATGTACCCAGCGGTTCACTGTTTTGTAACAATAATCAGTCTATTCACGGCTTTTAACCCTAATTTCACTCTTAGTTTCTCCTTAATTAAATGGCAAGGCTCAGTGTCCTACATCTGGCACGCACTTGACTCATTTTGTATTAGGTACAAGTTGCAAGTCATTAATTCCCTGCTCAGACCAAGAACGTGTCTCATTACATCATGGAACACACCATCCTGAAGTATTACAAGCTGCTTTAACTGCTTATCTTCATAACGTGGAAAACTGCCTTCTAAAACAATCCTCAAAAGATCACAAGCCTTCCAAGCACAAAAAGAAAATCACCAACAAAAGCAAGAGATTTAAAAGTCTGCTGAGGGACACGAGCAGTATGTCGAACACCACGTTAACTGTACCCCTTCCTAACAAGGCAGCTCAGCGACACACGCCAGTCAGAAAAGGTGAGGATGAGTCACCCACGGACGTCTCTCATACACTTAGAAAGGTATTTGTAAAAGGACTCAGAAAAGAAACACTCTAGTTTGAATATATTGCTGTTATGGTTTAAAGCCAGTAATCGCCAAGTCTGAAAGAACAGCTACTACATATTTTTTTAAATCTAACATGCTACTTTCTCTTTTCTCTGTGAGGCTATTTCTGCCATTACAAGTCATATTCCTTGAGATAAGGAAACTTAGAACCTTTCTCTTTTTGTTTGACTTGCCTTCCTTCTAATTAAAAGGATCCTTTACACTCAGGAATTTTATTCCAATACATTCATCTCTAACCCCACAAAAGAAACAGAGCATTTATTTCCTCTTGACTTATTCAGGACTGTAGCTGAACTGCCAATGCTATCCATCACTCTTTTTTCATCATACTATATTTGAATCTACATATGAGCCTCTACAGAACAGCAAATCTTGAGCTGCACCTGCAAACGGTGTCCTCTTGGAGGTCAGACTTAAGGTACACTGGCTGACCCAGTTCTATAAACAGAACACTGCCGCGCTTCTGTGCTGCCTCAGGTTGCCAAAGGCACCATCTCAGGAACTGTCCTCACGATTTA